TTTCTGTCTTAGTCAGGGTTTCTGTTGCTATGATGAAACACCATGACCAAAAGCAGCCTGGGAAGGAAAGGGTTATTCCATCTTACAACTTTTGGGTCCCTCTTCATCACTTGGGGAAGTCAGGGTAGGAACTCAAAGTAGGAACCTGGAGTCAGGAACTGAAGCAGAGGTTATGGAGGAGAGCTGCTTACTGGCTTGCTTCCCACGGTTTGCTCAGCGGGCTTTCCTATAAAACCTAGGACCTTCAGTCCAGGGGAGTACAGCCTACAATGAGCTAAGCCCTCCCTCATCAATTATTAATCAAGAAAATGCCCCACAGGCCTGTCTGCCAGCCAATCTGGTGGGGACATTTTCTTAATGGAGATTACCTTTCCGGATAACTATAACTTGTCTCAAGATGATTTTTAAAAACATAACCAAGACAGATAGACAAATAGGCAGACCTGCAAGTATTCACTAGCTCTGCCTTTGATACAACAGAGAAATTATGACACACCTCAGTGAACATACTTACTGTCCAAACCTCCCCTTCAAGTGTCCTTCATGCAAAGGAGTCAGGCTCCATGGAGAACTAGGACTGATGAAATCAAGATGAACTAGAAAAGTTTAGTAGCACCAGAAACTAAAAATGTACTCAAATAATGCAGATATATGTTTACAAAACAGAAACCACTTGGAATGAGCTTCTACTGTTCAGATCTGGGACAATCTGAGAATCCAAACAAAAGAACCCAAGGAGTGAAATAAGAACCTATGACTATAATTAAAATTATTATATTCTAATTCATTGTGCATTTTGACTTAATATATAATCATTTACTACTTATAGAAATGTATTTATATAGTAATTTATTCATACTAACATATACTATGGTATATATTACTATCTAGTATATGTAAACACTGTGTGCACTGATATAAATAAATTCCTACATCTGCTGCTATAGATGATGACAAATAATTGGGGAAGGCTCTTCCTACTATAAACTCTTGATTAATATAAAATGAACAATTAAATTATAAAACCATTATCCTCATAATCATCTAGTCAAGAGTTACTGCTGGGCGCTGAAACCAGTGGATAAAATTTTGATGAGTAGTTACCAGATTACGGTAACCTAGAGCAGAATGAGATCAAGTTCAGAAACCTGAGGCACACGTGGAACCTTCTCCCAGCCGCTGTCAGCTGATCTCAGGCCATCTTGCTAAGCGCTGTATCTGAAACAGAGTGAAAACCTTTCATTCATATATTTTTTTCACTGACAATTTCACACCTTTACATAATGCAGTTTGATCAGATTACCCTGTCATATCTCTCCTTATGTCCTTTGACGCCCTGCGTGCCAACAAGTCTCCCTCTTACTTTCATGACTACTTTCTGTGACCACTGGGCTTAATTAGAGTTGCTTGAATGACAAAAATGAAGGGTTAGTTCCTGGAGCATGGGCAACGTGCCAGGAAAGACACCAATGAAGAAAACGACTCTCGCTCCCCCAGCAGACATTAACTGCCAATAGTCCCTTCATCTAGCACTGACTTATGGCTATAAACATAAATATTTAGAAGGTAGTTTGACAGCATGGTCATTGTCTTGGGGGCTCCTGTGGCCTCCCTGACCAGTAATGCATAAAGAAGTGGCATCCTACACCTGGCACTGGCTACTCCCTAATAACCTGTGACTTCTGGGAACAGTAATATTCACTATGAAAGATACCTCCATTCAAACTTCCTTTTATTATTTTTTTGTTGTTGTTGATTATGTGTATGTGCATGGGTGGAAGCCATGAGGGCAGCTGAGTGTTGGCTCTCTCCTTCCAGTTCATCCTCAGGACTCGCAGCAAATGCTGTCTCTTGCTGAGCCCTCCCCAGTTAACCCTTCCCTCCCCCAGCATTCACCCCCCCTTTCATATCAGGTGTTGAGAACAGTTTTTGTTGAATATGGCTGCACTGCAGGAATTGTATTGGAGGAAGAGGATTATATGTATATTGACCCAATCATGACATCTGATACATTTTCCCCAGTTGTATCCTTTTCAAACAGGAAAAAAATTCCAGAATTGAGAAAATCATCTAGAAAAATTGTCAAATAATCAATAAGAGGCAGAACCCAGAACTCAGAGCCTTGCCTTCTGTTTTTTGTCTGTTTGTTTTTGGTTTTGGTTTTTGGATTTTCAGAGCACCTTTTCTCTGTAGCTTTGGAGACTATCCTGGAAGCAGCTCTTGTAGATCAGGCTGGCCTCGAACTCACAGAGATATGCCTGAGTGCTGGGACTAAAGGCATGGCACCACCATCACCTGGTCACTGCCTTCTGATCTTGCAGTCAGCATTGTTCTAAGTTGCTGTGTGGCTCTGAGTCCTCTTAGAATGCTGGGCTTCCGAGGTGTGCAGAGTAACGAAGCCACAGAGCCATTGGTCCGTTTTCTGTTTTGTGTTGTTTGAGGCAGCTTTTAATCTCACACTCACACTCCTGCCTTAGCCTCTGGATCCTGGGATCGTAGGCAGGGCCTACCACATAAGGCTTCCAGAAGCATTCTTCAGCAAACGCGTTGGTGGTTCCTGCTTTTTGTTTGGTTTGTTTTCACCCGATTTACTAAGCACTTAGCTTCCTTTTCCTCATCTATTAAATAGAGACAGCAACACAGTCATGTGTTATGGGGACCGGTTCTGAGAACTCAGATCTTAGATGATCTCATCACTGTGCAGACCCAGAGCTGGATGGTGCGGGTCGGTTTCTTAAGTGCCCGCCCTAGAACACAGCCATTGCTCGTCTCTATTGACAGAGTGTTATGTGCATGCCTGTGTGTGCTATGCTTGCCTATGACTGACACGTGGTAGATTATTTCTTTACAATCTTCACTACAGATAAGTGTGCGATGTACTGAGATAATGCAACATGAAAGCTAGACTGTTTGAGTTCCACTGTAATCTCTCGGGACCACCACTGGATATTCAGTCTATGTAGCATGCACATAACTGTCCTTAACATACATGCAATATGAGTACTAGATTGGTCACGTGTTAAAGCACATGACACAGTATCAAATGAGCCTCCTTTAAGGGAAGCAGTGGTAATTGTTCAGCTCACTAGCAGGATTTTAAAAGCCGTTGCTTGCTTTTGACTGCCCATCGGGGACTAGAGCCTCCAGAGGTCCCAGGAAAGACTCGTGTGTAGGCAATCGAACACCCTGAAGGATTTTATTAGCAGGAGAGCTGTGATCTGGGCGGCCATGGGCAAGAGCAGAGCAGGGGAGAGAGCAATCACTGGTGAGGGGAGGAGCAGCAGGAGGACATGCCAGGCTCTGGGTTTGGGAGAGGACTGTGGTAGGGAGGAGGGAGCATAGGACAGACAGCACAGCCCAGACTGCTGGCTGGATTGAACAGGAGGGAAGGTGGAGAGTTTAGACTGGGCCTCAGCCTGTGGCCTGCTCCCTGACTCTTCGGAGTGATGGCAGTATGGCTGAGAAGCAGGAGGAAGGCACTGGCAGATGCTGGCCAGAGGGAATTCGGAATATCTAAGAGATGGTTGAGGAGTCTGAACATCTCTGGACATTGAGATCTAGACTGCGGATCGGCTCAGTGCTAGGGAGTCACTGAAGCCATGCAGGAATAGAGTTCCATAGGGAATGGATGCAGGCTGAGGAGATACAACAGTGCTCAGAGCTGGCAAAGGAAGGTGAAGGAGTCCAAGGGCAGCAGCTGTCATGAAGACGTGAGATTCGAGATGTGTTTGCTGCCAGGAAACAGGATGTACCCCAAGAGAACGGAGCTCAGAGGGATTGGGAAAGACCTGTGAGTTTTGAATTTGTGACCTTCAGAGGAGCAGATGTTGAAAATGAATCCAGACTGACTTATTAGAAAAGAGAGATCACTGTGAATGAGTCCAGAGATGCAGGCAGCTCAGCCCCTGGCCACCTCACACCACCGTTCTTTCTTATGGTGGTAGACTGTCAGTCCAGTGGGATAGTTCGGCCCTCCAGAGCAGGCCTGCACCAGCCATGACTACACACTACAGTAGGGAATCTTACATGTGTATCCCTTTTGGGACCTCCTTCCTGTATTGCTAACACACTTGGGCCTCCTCAGACGGGCCTTGAAGTTAGTCCCAGAGTAGACCATACAGCATTAGCCCCCAGCTTTATCCTTTTGTAGTATTAGAACCAGTTTCTTTCCATACCCTCCCATCACACCGAAGGTTTTCCAACTTGTTTCTATCCTTGACCCAGAATAAAATAGTCCGATATGTGCAGTGTGCACATGTGGATATAACTTAAAGAAAAGTCACATGAGATGTAACTTACTGCCGTAAGAACACTTGTGTTTCCGACATTCTCCCTTTACACTCTAATCTGTCTCATTCTTTAGATGCTGCTCCCAGCCTACTGTGTTCATTTTGTCACTCATAAACTGACTTAATGAAACCTACTGGGCTACGAAAGGTTAAAAGGGAAAGGCCTCAGTGTCCTTGACCCCCATCTCCCTTTGCCCCGGAAGCCGTACCTCGAGGCTGACAGGACCTCCCCTAAAAGCCTCTTAGTGCCACTGAGAGCTGCTCCAGTACAACTGGTGGCTAGCCTGGGGCTGATGTGAATTTCCACAGTGGCCACCGGTGTGCAGTTAGAAGCTGTATACTGGACATCAACGAAGGTGGAAGGCTCCCCTTTCAAGCCAGCTGCATAGGCTACTGTTCCAGGAGGATTCTGGGGACATCTAACAGCTGGAAGCATTTTCATTTTGTGCCTCTTGGACCTAATAGCCCCAGTATGAGAAGTATGGCCAGCCTATCACATGGGCCAGGTTCCCCTCGCCATTCAACGGGACAGTGGAGCGGGGCTGCCATGTGCTGGCTTTTGTTTCCTTCTCAGCTCTCCCTGAAGGTAGACTACACCCTCAAGAAACACTAAATCATTGCCTACTTCAACAGAGACTACATTAGGATCCACCCTTCCCCCCCTGCCACCCCCAGCATCTTATTCACAATGACTTGTCTACTTTCATTCAGGAATTGCCAGGATTCGGGATTGGCCTGGGCTACAGCATGACGATGTTGCCCGAGGAGTAGCAGAAGTCTTTGTCAGCTGCCAAGAGCAATCCACCACTGTCATCAACACTTGAGTGCCCAGAAGTCTTCCGAAGGCCTGATCTACCGCCTATCTGCAATGAGCCAGGCCCTGAGCTGGGCCTCGGCTTCTCCCTGGTGAACAGAACTCCACCTGTGGCCTCGGGCAATCACGCTTAGCTGAAAGATGAGTGAAGGACGATGGGTCTCTCTCTCCTCAGAAGAATTTGACCAACTCCAGAAATACGCTGAATGTAAGTGCTGCCATTCACAGACGCGCGGGATGAGGCTTTTCCTCTTCTGGGAGATGAGTTCCTCCGGGGGGTGGAATTATTGCAGAACCCTGGAGAAGAGGCTCAGCAGCTACAGTCACTTGATAAACACAGAATTAGGGCTTTCAGTATAAAAACACAATCCCTCCTACGCTCTTGTGAATAATCCACACTCACTACAGAATTTGGAGTGCACACTGGGGAAAAGAAGGCCGGTTTTAAAGCCCCCAGTGCGCTCAGCCAGCCCTGCACAACCCACAGCTGTGAATGGCTGAGTCCTTCACCTTCCTTCCCAGGCCTATGTGGTCCTCTTAACAAGATCCTAGTGTTTTCTCGGGCCCTTAACTACAGTTCTAAAGGACAACAGGTGCATGGTAAGGGTGTCCCACGGTCACTCACATCAATCCATTCTTGTGTTTTGAAATCAGAGACTGAGTTTGAATATGTAACTCTCGATTTTGTTCTGAAAAGGCCCAGGATTTCATCTGATGTCACAGCTTACCACCCCTGAGCCTCCACATCCTTCCCTGTGACGTCATAGTTTATCATCCCTGAGCCTCTACATTCTCCCCTGTGATGTCACAGCTTACCATCCCTGAGACTCCACATTCTCCCCTATGACGTCACAGCCTACCACCTTTTAGGCTCCACATCCTCCCCTGTGACGTCACAGTTTACCACCCTTGAACCTCACATCCTCCCCTGTGATGTCACAGCTTATGACCCCTTAGCCTCCACATCCTCCCCTATGACGTCACAGCCTACCACCTTTTAGGCTCCACATTCTCCCCCTGTGATGTCACAGCTTACCACTCCTGAGCCTCCACATCCTCCTCTCACCTCTGTGACATCACATCTTACCGCCCCTGAGCCTCCACATCCTTCTTGGTATAATGAGAGGAATGGACCAGGGCCTGGGGGATGACTTGGTTGGTAAGGTACCTGCAGCCGGTACGAGGACCTGAGTTTGGATCCCCAGCATCTGTGTGAAAAAGGCAAGAAGGGAAACTCAGGTGCTGTGGCAGACACCTGTAATCCTAGCTCTGGGAAGAGAGAGAGGGAGATCTCTGCAACCCATTGGCCAGCCAGTCTGCATGAACCAGCAAGCACCAGGTTCAGGGACTGACTCAAATTTTAAAAAAAGGGAATGTGGAGAGTGACTGGGGAAGATAGCTGATATTGACTTCAGGCCTCCATGTGCACACATACACATATATGTATGCTTATACAGCTACACACACACACACACGAGTGGACATAACCCTGAGTTCTTATTCCGATTTAATGATGTGTGGCTTCATCCATCCCCAAGGCCGATGGGAGCCCGTGGTGTACTGGCCAGTCTTGCTGCTGCTGTTCTGGAACCCCTTCTAACCTCACTGGGTTCACAGAAATTATGCAGTGTTGACAGAGAACAAGGGCAAATTCAATTTCTCTCAGCCTGCACTACAGATGAAAAGCAGCACAAACACAGGGCCTGTCCTGTGGGGGGCAGAGTCCTGTTAAGCAGTCTCATCTGTGCTCGAGACACGAGTAGAGCACAGCTCAAAGACTCAGAAACACAACGCGCCCTCGAACCTCTGGCTAACAAGGCACATAAAGGCCCCAGGAGCTGAAAGAGAGGGAAGAAGTATGGTAGCCATCTGGAACACAGTGGAACACAGTGTGGGTGATTAGATAACAGAAATCGGTTGGCTCACAGCTGTGGAGGCCCCAAGTCCAAAACCAAGACTTTGGCAAGTTGGCTTTTCTGTGGGCTAGAAAGAATGGCCTCTCCTCGGCTTGTGCCCACAGCTTGTTCCTAGCTGGGTTCTCCCCCAGTCTCCTCCCATGGCATGTGTGTGTATGAGCGTGTGTGTGTGTGTGTGCCCAAATTTCTCGCTTTTATAAGGATACAGTGTTAATGAACTGGATCCATCCCACTCCAGCATGACCTCATCTTAACTGCTTAGATCTACAATAGCCCTATCTAAGGTCACATGTTGAGAGTCTAAGGCTTGTAACGCATAAGTAGGGGACCACACTGAAGCCACAGGAGAAGATCTAGTGGAGTGAACTCTAAGCCAAGTCAGAGGGTCCAGAGGGACAAGGTGAGCAGAGAGTTAGGCAGAGATCTGGACTGGATGGGGAGAAAGAGCAGAAGGATAAGGAGGGACAGAACTCACATCAAGCCGGCTTTTCATGTCAACGTGTGGGCCTTAAGCCAAGTTGGTGAGCTACAGAGCTGTGAATCTGGAGGCTGTCTATAGAGCAGCTCACATCAGGAAGCTGCCAGGCCATGAGTCAGGGTCTTGGTTGGTATAAAATCTAGTCTGAATCAAGGAATAAGATTATAGGGCGGAATTCAAGCCAGTTTGGGGGAAGTGTGATGAATATGTTATCCACATACATAGAGCAAAAGGAAGTCAATGGAGGTCCCTCAAAACTGAGCTCTGAATGTGGCAAATGGGGGACCACAGGGTTGGTGGAGACAGTTTGGGATGGTGAGGATCAAGGTAACAATGGCACACTCGCTTACACATCTGTGTGTGCCAGGCTCTTAGGAACCAACGAAGAGGAGGATGCACTTCCTGTCTTCACCAGGGAAGAGATTGGACTCAAACAATGACATCTCCATGTGACAGGTGTTAAGAAGGCTGGGTTGGCCTTGCAAGGTTCAGTCCTACCCAGGTGGGATGTCCTAGCACTTAGGCACAGGCTGAGAGTCTTATGGAGTGTGGGAGGAGTTGGAGAAAGAACCAGAATCCCTTGCCAGAATTCTCCTGGGAGAGATTCCAGCACATAGAGGTCTGAGTAGAACTCAGGGTTAGGCTACGGTCTGACCTGGGATTCCTATATAAACAACAACAGGGGGGGAAATGAAAGAATAAAGACACATTAAAGATTAGGAGGTAGAAGGGGGTAGAGAGAAGTTTAGGGCATGTCCTCCTTCAAGGAGGACAAAGGGTCAGAAGACAGGAGAACTAGAAGAATAACCAGCTTAAAAAGAGCCCAGGGCGGGTGGGGAATGTTGATGCACACCTGTGGATCCGAGCACAGAATGCCGGACCAAGTGCTCCAGTAATGCTGTGCAAACAGGAAAGGGGGGAAAAACATGAAATTCTTGGAAAATGATTAATCCTTAGAGGAAACCTTGAGAAAGTCGCTTCCACCAATTTTAGGTGCATTCTGGTATTCAGTAAGATCGCATTGCCATAGCAACCAACTCTTCCAAAACCACATAAACAGGAGCCTTACAATAGCAAAATGATGAAGGACACAGCCCAAGAACTGGGATCTTTGGGGGCTAAGGAGGAGGTGTGCTCCACTCGTCTTACATAAATGTGCACCTTCTCTGGAGGCCTTTGATAGGAGAAGCTCTCTTAAAGTTGCTCCTAGGACAGCGATTCAAGTCTATGCCATAATCAGTCATGCATGAACATATGTCTATACTTGATGGTAAGGCAACAGCAAAGGATGTTTATTGAGAATCTAATGTGGTGGTAAGAATTTTTTATTATAAGATAAAGGCAAACTGTTGTCCTAGCTCTCAGGAAATAGCAGCAGAAAGATGGCAAGATGGAAGCCACTTTGGGCTACAGAGTTGATTTCAGGCCAGAATGGAATATCACCTGCCATGGTGTAATGAAGAAGCAAATGGAATGCCGGTTTCATTTGTTTCAGTTAGGCTTCAAGAAATTAAATAAAAATGTCTTTTAGAGATAGTCAATCCAATATAGGATAGATAGATGATAGATTAGATAGAGAGAAGATAGATAGATAGATGATAGATAGATAGATAGATAGATAGATAGATAGATAGATAGATAGATAGATAGAGACTGGTATCAATTTTTTTATTTATTAAAGACTTCTGTCTCTTCCCCACCGCCGCCTCCCCTTTCCCTCCCCCTCTCCCAATCAAGTCCCCCTCCCTCGTCAGCCCAAAGAGCAATCAGGGTTCTTTGCCCTGTGGGAAGTCCAAGGACCACCCACCTCCATCCAGGTCTAGTAAGGTGAGCATCTAAACTGCCTAGGCTCCCACAAAGCCAATACGTGCAGTAGGATCAAAAACCCATTGCCATTGTTCTTGAGGTCTCAGTAGTCCTCATTGTCCGCTATGTTCAGCGAGACCGGTTTTAACCCAGGCTTTATCAGACCCAGGCCAGCTGGCCTTGGTATGTTCCCGATAGAACATCCCCATTGTCTCAGTGTGTGGGTGCACCCCTCACGGTCCTGAGTTCCTTGCTCGTGCTGTCTCTCCTTCTGCTCCTGATTTGGACCTTGAGATTACAGTCTGGTGCTCCAATGTGGGTCTCTGTCTCTGTCTCCTTTCATCGCCTGATGAAGGTTAATATTCAGGAGGATGCCTATATGTTTTTCTTTGGGTTCTCTTTCTTATTTAGCTTCTCTAAGAACCCGAATTATAGGCTCAATGTCCTTTATTTATGGCTAGAAACCAAATATGAGTGAGTACATCCCATGTTCCTCTTTTTGGGTCTGGCTTACCTCACTCAGGATAGTGTTTTCTATTTCCATCCATTTGCCTGCAAACTTCAAGAAGTCCTTGTTTTTTACTGCTGAGTAGTACTCTAATATGTATATATTCCATACTTTCTTCATCCATTCTTCAATTGAAGGACATCTAGGTTGTTTCCAGGTTCTGGCTATTACAAACAATGCTGCTATGAACATAGTAGAGCATATACTTTTGTTGTATGATAAGGCCTCTCTTGGGTATATTCCCAAGTGTGATATTGCTGGGTCCATGGGTAGGTTGATCCCGAATTTCCTGAGGAACCTCCACACTGCTTTCCAGAGTGGTTGCACAAGTTTGCATTCCCACCAGCAATGGATGAGTGTACCCCTTTCTCCACAACCTCTCCAGCAAAGGCTATCATTGGTGTTTTTGATTTTAGCCATTCTGACAGGTGTAAGATGGTATCTTAAAGTTGTCTTGATTTGCGTTTCCCTGATCACTAAGGAAGTTGAGCATGACCTTA